ACATATTCCTCATTTTCAAGGAACATTCTGTAGAGATTCCTTCAAATAGATAACCAGCTGTTTCAGACCGTAAATTCTGAGGATATTGTTCTGTATTTTCTCTCCTTTAAAATTCTTTACTTTTTCTTCTGATTACATTTGTGGCAGTCACAGGTGCTAGCATCATCAACACCTGCTCTCCCCTCTTTTAATAAAACGATGGTGCTCCAAATTTAGAGCAGTCTTCGGTTTTGAGGAGTATTGGAGGGGATATTGAGGTCAGGATGGCTCCTTATGGCCTCAAACCAACTTGTGATCGTGATGATTGTGGGATATAAGAGGTTTTAAATGTTTTAATTTTTTATAGCTAATGTCACAGTAATTATTGTAAAAATAACTAGGAAGATTTTCTTTCAAATGATAGATAAATGTATATTCTCCTTGACTTCACTGCTATCTTCTTGTCACTTAAACAGTAAAATCATCCGTAATTTGTGTATCTCAAAATATCTGACCTCTGTTAAAAAAGTCAGGGAATTTTTAGTCTAAGTTTTAAAGCTTATTTGACTAAGGAAGCTGATGTCATTTCTACCACTGCCACTGAATAGTCTTTGTAATATTGTCATCTTAATCATCTGTTCATATCTATTATAGTGTTTTCTACTTCTGATATTCTAAAACACAGCTTTAAGATGAATCAGTGGAAAATTATTAAGGCTTTGTGTAGTAAAGAATTTGGCCTTGCTCAAAAAGAGCTCTGAACTTTGCCCTCAGCTTCTTGGAGGCAACCTGTGTCATACCTGATAGGACTGTCTTTGTTTTGGACAATGGCTGGACACACCCGAAAGATTATCCATATGATCTAGAGTTGGGGTTTAAGGCTACAGCTGTCAACCTGGACACTGATATCAGCCATGTGGGCCACCAATCAATCATGCCTATGTAAGGGAGACCTTTTACACACCCCCTAAAATATACATTGAAGTCTTAAACTCCAGTACTATGGAACGAGACCTTTGGAAATAGGGTCATTGTGCATGTAATTAGTTAAGATAAAGCCATCCACCATCCAGTATGACTGGTGTTCTAATGAGAAGAGCAGAAAGACGCATGAAAGGAAAATGCCACATGGCAATGGAGGCAGAGATGGGAATGGATGTAGCTGTGAGTGAGGAATGCAGACAAACACCAGAAACTGGAAGAGGCAAGGAAGGATTGTGCCTGCAGGTTTCAGAGGGAGGGAGTGAGGGCCTTCCGACACGTCAATTTCAGATTTCCATCCTCTAGAGCAGTGGGACAAAAACATTCAGTTGTTTTAAGCCACCCAGTTGAAGGTATTTTTTTATGATAGCCGTAGGAAATGGATACAAGCCCCAATACAAACTGAACATAGAAACTCAGATGAGTGTGCCTGGTTGACAATTTCATGCATATTATCACGCACTGATGCCGAGAGGATAATGTCCTGAGCACAGTGGAAGCTTCATGTTTCTCAGATTCTTTTCTCTTCCTTTGGCTGATTTTAATTTGTATCCATTCCCTGTAATTAAGCATAACCATACATATAATTGCTTTTAGGGAGTTTTGTGAGTCCTGGAGAATTACTGAACCAGAGTGTGGTTTTTGAGAAAGCCCTGAATTTGCGGTTGGTGTCAGAAGTGAGAGTAGTCTTAGGAGTCTTGTGTGGACTCCCCCTCTACCTTCCTAGCTGGGCTCTACCCCCTTGCTGTAGGTATCAGGAGTCTAGGGCTGGCCTGGCAGTCTAGAGGACTATGTCCTCAAATCTCAACTTTTTGCTAACTCCACATAGGCTTTATAAAACAATCTGATAGAACCACTTAACTATGACTGTCTTTGGCTTTGCTTTTACAATTCTTGGTTATAGAGTACGGAGTTCCCATGCACTGTGTAACTCTCTCATACCTAGCCTGGGTGAATTTAGCTATCATCAGAGCCCAGGGCCAAATTGCAGCATAAGTACGGTGTCGTCATCTTTCTTTATTCTGTGTCCTCCTTCTTACTGTCACCCGTTACTGTAACCCAAAGCCTTCCTGCTGATCTGTGATTATTTAAGACCCTGCCCTGACTCTCATATACATGCACATACTTATGAATTCACCCCCAATTCCTCTTCTTGATGGAAGGTCTTTGCTACTTCCTCTCTCACTAATTCAAAACTGATTTTCTCAGAGCTCATAAAAGATTGGTATGAGATGATTTATTAATATAATTGCTGCTAATGTAAATAACTAGCCTCAAGCTTTCTTTTCAAGAGAAGCTTCTGTTCATGGGTCCTCTCCTCACAAAAACAAAGCAAGACTCTTGCTCTCATTCCTTCTTTACATCTAAGAGTGACAAATAAGTTACTCTTAATCAGAATATAATAGTGAGCCCCAGATTTTTGCGGAGTTGGAGTTTGTTCACAGAGGAACCAAGGGAAAACATGGTTGTCTTCCCTATTTTTAAATATAGATAACATTGCTTGATTATCCCATCTTACCTTTAATGACTTGCTGATGGAGGGAGTCTGATTTTCTAGGCCAGGAAGCATCCAGCATGGGGGAAAGACGTAGGTTGGGAGGCAAAAAGCACTTACAGGGTCATTGTAAGGATTAAAGGACTTAGTGTGTAAAGAGCTCAGAACGTAGTGATCACCTTGTTAAATGTTAACAATTATCTGTCTTCTTTGAATTTTTTTGAAGCTTTCAGTCCTCTACTTATGGTTTTCTACCTTGTTTCCTGGCAGTTAAGACTTTAATAAAGCAAGACAATTTTCTCAAAAAAGATAACATATTCTAATACAGATTCAGGTTGTACATTAATTCCTGAAAAAAAAGTCAGGAATAGGCAGAGGTTTATTTGACACTGTAAGACAGTAGAATATGAAGCAGTCTTGATTACTGTAGCCTTGTAGTATAGTGTGAAGTATAGCATCATGTCTCCAGCTTTGTTCTTTTTGCTTAGGATTGCTTTGGCTATGTGGGCTCTCTTTTGGCTCCATATGAAGTTTAAAGTGATTTTTTTCCAGTTCTGTGAAGAAGGTCAATGGTTGCTTGATGAGGATGGTGTTGTATCTATAAATTGCTTTGGGCAGTATGGCCATTTTCACAACCCTGATTCTTCCTAAACAGGAAGAATGCTTTGGAATGTTTCCCCATCTGTTTGTGTCCTCTCTTACTGCCTTGAGCAGTGGTTTGTAGTTCTCCTTGAAGAGGTCCTTCACATCCTTTGTTAGTTATATTCCTAGGCATTTTATTCTCTTTGTAGCTAATGTGAACTGGTACCAAAACAGATATATAGCCCAATGGAACAGAACAGAGGCCTCAGAAGTAACGCTACAGATCTACAACCATCTGTTCTTTCACAAACCTGACAAAAACAAGCAATGGGGAAAGGATTTCCTGTTTAATAAATGGTTTTGGGGAAACTGGCTAGCCATGTGAAGAAAGCTGAAACTGGACCCCTTCCTGACACCTTACACTAAAATTAACTCCAGATGGATTAAAGACTTAAACATAAGACCTAACACCATAAAAACCCTAGAAGAAAATCTGGGCAAAACCATTCAGGACATAAACACAGGCAAGGACTTCATAACTAAAACATCAAAAGCATTGGCAACAAAAGCCAAAATAGACAAATGGGATCTAATTAAACATAAGAGATTCTCACAGCAAAAGAAACAGTCATTAGAGTGAACCGGCAACAAACAGAATGGGAAAAAATTTTTTCAATCTACACATCTGACAAAGGGCTAATATCCAGAATCTACAAAGAACTAAAGCAGATCTATAAGAAACAAAAAAACGAACAAACAAACCCATTCAAAAGTGGGTGAAGGATATGAACAGATACTTTTCAAAAGAAGACATTTATCAGGCCAATAAACATGAAAAAATGCTCATCATCACTCATCATTAGAGAAATGCAAACCAAAACCACATTGAGATACCATCTCACGCCAGCTAGAATGGCCATCACTAAAAAATCTGGAGACAACAGATGCTGGAGAGGATGTGGAGAAATAGGAACACTTTTACACTGTTGGTGGGAGTATAAATTAGTTCAACCATTGTGGAAGACAGCGTGGCGATTCCTCAAGTATTTAGAAACAGAAATTCCATTTGACCCAGCAACCCCATTACTAGGTATATACCCAAAGGATTATAAATTGTTCTATTATAAAGACACATGTACACATATGTTCATTGAGGCACTATTTACAATAGCAAAGCCCTGCAATCAACCAAAATGGCCATCAATGATAGACTGGACAAAGAAAATGTGGCACATAGACACCATGGAATACTATGCAGCCATGTTCTTTGTAGGAACATGTATGAATCTGGAAACCATTATTCTCAGCAAACTGACACAAGAACAGAAAACCAAACACTGTGTGTTCTCACTCATAGGCGGGTGTTGAACAATGAGAACACGTGGGCACAGGGAGGGGAACATCACACATTGGGGTCTGTTGGGGTGTGGGGTCTAGGGGAGGGACAGTGGGGTCAGCGGAGGTTGGGATAACATTGGGAGAAATGCCTGATGTAAGTGATGGGGGGATGGAGACAGCAAACCATCATGGCGTGTGTGTACCTATGCAACAATCCTGCAGGATCTGCATATGTACCCCAGAACTTAAAGTACAGTAAAATAGTGAAACAGTCTACCACACAATAAAGTCAGGGCACTTAAGGCATTACTAAGCATATCAGTAAGTAAATGGACATATTACTAAATATACATATTCCTAAATATCTCACCTTTAATAACTTGCCTATGCCCATTACTAGCATGTAATTACTAGCATGTAGTGTTTTCTAGAGGGACAGAACTAACAGAATAGATATATACAAAAAGGGGAGTTTATTAAGTACTAAGTCACATGATCATAAGGTTCCACAATAGGCCGTCTGCAGGCTGAGGAACAAGGAGAGCCAGTTCGAGTTCCAAACTAAAGAACTGGGAGTCTGATGTTCGAGTGCAGGAAGCATCCAGCATGGGAGAAAGATGTAGGGTGGGAGGCTTGGCCAGTCTCTTTTCACATTTTTCTGCGTGCTTATATTCTAGCCCCACTGGCAGCTGATTAGGTTGTACCTCTCTAGATTAAGAGTGGGTCTGTCTTTCCAAGCCCACGGACTTAAATGTTAATCTCCTTTGGCAACATCCTCACAGACACACTGAGGATCAATACTTTGCATCGTTCAGTACAATCAAGTTGATACTTAGTATTAACCACCTATGCAAGCTATTAAAGGTAAGATACTTAGGATGTCATTTAACCTCTCTGTACCTCAGTTTTTTTAATTTGTGTGAAAACAGCCCTTAAGAATTAAAGGACTTAGTGTGTAAAGAGCTCAGAACATAGGGATCACCTTGTAAGTGTTAACTATTATCTGTCTTCTCTGAATTCTGTTAAGGCTTTCAGTCCTCTACTCGTACTTTTCTACCTTGCTTTCTGGCAGTTAAGACTTTAATAAAGCAAGACAGTTTTCTCAAAAGGAATAACATATTCTAATACAGATTCAGGATATATGTTAATTCCTAAAAGAAGGACAGGAATAGGCAAAGGTTCATTTGACACTGTTAGACTGTAGAATATGAAGCAGTCTATCACATAATAAAATTGGGGCACTTATGGCATTATAATTAGGTATTTTTAAAAGTAGAAATGAAAAGTTTACTTTGAATATTACAATAAGGTGTATCACCTTATGGTTGAGTAGCATTTTAAAGCTTTTTAATACATAATTTCAATGAGTTTTGTTGCTCAAAGAAGTGAGCATGGTAGGTATACCAAGACGTATTTTAAAGTAGGATTTAGAGTCTTATTAAAGTGTAATGACTTGTTCAGAAGTATTGTTTCTATTTGGGAAGGAGTTTAAATTGTTGAGCTGTTAAAGATGGAACCACCTTGATGTACACAATCTGTTGATGTCTAACTTTAATTTCAGTGACTTTAGTTCAAACAATTGTGATAACTTTGGTGTTAATGGATGTTAGCTAGAACAGGAAAGAACACATTTGATTTTCTGAGTCTTTTGGTTATCTAACATTTTTGAACATTATGCTAAAAGATAATTTAGTGAACTACGACTCTTCAGATACTTTAAAAAATAGAATGACTTTTTTTAGGAAGCTAAGGAGGGGAAAAAGACTTTTGAAAGCTTTCTCCCTCTTTTTAAACTTATGAAATACTCCACATGTTTAGTAAAAAGATTCAGGTTGAATGAGCAGCACTCAACTCTGACGGATAAAAGAGGTGGGATTTTTAATATAACTGTCAATTCTGAAAGGCAAATAATCTCATTATTAAAGACCTTGGCAGTTCAAATTGTTACTGAAGTTTTATGAATGCAAAGGATGTATAATTTCAATTAGGATGAAAGCAGCTTATTCCTCTGATTCAGCAACAACAACAAATACTTGAATGCTTCCACTTTTAAAGCAAGTTGTGGTTCTCACTTGGATAGTTGCAATTGATCAAGCATAACATTTTTCTGTACAATCTTTCAGTTTTATTTTTTGGATTTATTACATTAGGGTTAGGTAGGCCCCAAAGGCTAGGATTATGACAGGTGGTTTTTGTTGTTTTGTTTTTTCTTCAGTAAATGAAACTTATTCTTAGACAGCATAGCTATTTCACACTCATTAGAAAGAAGCGCTGATTCAGGCCATCACAATGGCCTGAATTCAGGCCAAAATTAGTCTTGACCCATCTACCGTCCTCTTTGGGTAACCTCCTCCAGATCAGGGCTCTGTCTGTCTTCCTAAGGAACTAACAGTGCTTGTTCCTTCTATTCTAGTTTCTTTTCTCAGGAAGCACTTGGAATATTTATTCACACTAAGCTATTAGTGGCTTAGGTTTATTTTTCCCTGTGAATAAATTTATATTTTAAAAGAGGTCAGCTCTGGCCAAGTGTGGTGGCTCATGCCTGTAATCCCAGCACTTTGGGAAGGCGAGGTGGGCAGACCACCTGAGGAGTTTGAGATCAGCCTGGCCAACATGGTGAAGCCCTCTCTCTACTAAAATATAAAAATTAGCTGGTCATAGTGGCAGGTGCCTGTAATCCCAGATTACAGGCTGAGGCAGGAGAATTTCTTAAACTCAGGAGGCAGACGTTGCAGTGAGCTGAGATGGTACCACTGCACTCTAGCCTGGGCAACAGAGTGAGACTCCGTCTCAAAAAAGAAAAGAAAAAAAAAGGTTAGCCCAAAAGAATATTAATCTCAAATGGTGAAATTTGAGGTGTTTAAAATGGGAAGTTTTTTAGTATCTCTGTAACATAGTCCTCCTATACCCATTCTATTGCATAGTAGTAAGCAGTGTGTACCTATAAATAAAATCAATCCTGTTGGTAAAAAGAAAATTATTAGGAATTTGATATTGTGGAGCATGAGCTATACTTTAGGTAGAAGCTGTACGTAAATGAACAAATAATTCTCGAAGACTGATTGTGTGTACCACTATTTTTCCACCCATCTTAACCTTATTTGTGTCCCTATTTATGATTTTTTAAAGTAAAAATCATAAACATAAATGTAAATGTAAAATTACATTTTAAAATGTAAAAATCATTATATTAAAAAATAATAAAAGAGACACACTTGAAAACTATTTTCTAATTTGTTTAATATAAACAGTCTTCCCAAAGTATTGCAGTCAAAAAGCTTTTAGGTATATGTCTGATGTAATGCTCTTGCTGCAAAGGGAAAAACTATCACACAAAATGTTGGACTGAGGGCTGCTGTGGGCAGCGGAGAACTGGTGAAAAGCTCTGGTCTTGGAGTCAGACAGATGTTGGGAAAATGACTTTTTCTTCCCCTTAAACCATGTTATTGAGGTGTGGTTGACATACAAAAAGCTGTAGGTTTCCAATGCACGTAACTCCATGAGTTTGGGGATAAGTACATACTCGTGAAACCATTATCATCATCAAGGCTATGAACATGTCTATTATCTCCCAAAGTTTCCTTCTACTCACTTTATTATTATAATTTAAATTGTAGTAATATAATATGTTTTTGTGGAAAGACCACTTAGCATAAAATCTACTCTTTTAGCAGATGTTAAGTATACAAGGCAGTATTGTCAGCTATAGGCACTGCTGTGCAGTAGATCTCCAGAACTTACTCATCCTGCACAACTAAAACTTGGTCCCTTTGAACATCCCATCCTCATTTCCCCCTCTCTGCACCCCCTGGCAACCACCATTCTATTCTGTATGTATGTATGTATGTATGTATGTATGTATGTATTTATTTATTTATTTATTTATTTTAAGGCAGAGTCTTGCTCTGTTGCCCAGGCTGGAACACAGTGGCCTGATCTCAGCTCACTGCAACTTCTACCTCTTGGGTTTAAGCAATTCTTGAGCCTCAGCCTCCCGAGTGCAGCTGGGATTACTGCTGCATGCAACCACACCTGGCCAATTTTTGTATTTTTAGTAGAGATGGGGTTTTGTCATGTCGGCCAGGCTGGTCTGGAACTCTTGGCCTGGAGTGATCCTCCTACCTCGGCCTCCCAAATTGCTGGGACTATAGGCATGAGCCACCATGTCTGGCCTACTCTGTACTTCTATGAGTTTGATTATTTTAGAGCTCACATATAAGTAAGATCATACAATATGTTTTTCTGTGTCTTGCTTATTTCACTTAGTATGTCCTCCATGTTCACTCATGATAGTGCAAACAGCACAACTTCCTTCTTTTGTGTATATACACCACCTTATTCTATTATGTATGTCCACTACCTTTTCTTTATTCATTCATGTATTGATGAATATTTAGATTATTTTTATAGCTTTGCTATTGTGAATAATCCTGCATTATTAGTAAAGATAATAATAAGATAATAAAGATAATTATCCTGTATTATTAGTGGGAGTACAGATATCTCTTTGAGGCAGTGATTTTTTTTTTCCTTTAATTTTGATTCTGCTTTCAGTTTTTTGGATATATACCCGGAAGTAGAGTTGCTAAATTATATGGTAGTTCTATTTTTAATTTTTAAATTTTTTTTTTTTTATTTTTAACAGTCTTGTTCTCTCACCTAGGCTGGAGGGTACTGGTGTGATCTCAGCTCACTGCAACCTCCGCCTCCCGGGTTCAAGCTATTCTCATGCCTCAGCCTCCTGAGTAGCTGGGATTATGGCTGTGCACTACCATGCCTGGCTAATTTTTGTATTTTTAGTAGAGACAGAGTTTTACTATGTTGGCCAAACTGATCTTAAGCTGCTGACCTCGAGTGATCCACCAACCTCAGCCTCTCAAAGTGCTGGGACTACGGGCATGAGCCACTGCACCTGGCCTACTTTTAATTTTTTGAGGAGCTTCTATCCTTTTTTTTTTCTTTTCTTTCTTTCTTTTTTCTTCTTTTTTTTTTTTT